ATTACAATCGGTTACAATAGTAAATTTAATTCCTATTAGATACGTGCGGAATTTATTTAGAGCACTGACCACAGCTAATGTTTCCAGTTCGAACGAGTGTAGTTTCATCTCGTCCGCTGTAGTTTGGCGACTGTAATACGCTACTGGTCGCCACGGCTTGAGACTCTCTTTTTCTCTTTGCAACAATATTCCCGCAACGCCAATTTTACTCGCATCGGTATGCAATTGGGTTTCAGCATTATGATCATACAAGGCTAAAACTGGTCGACTTACAAGTAGTACTTTAATGTTCTCGAAAGCTTGCTTTTCTACTTCTCTCCATTGCCAGGGTACATCTTTCTTCAATAAGTTAGTCAACGGTCTCGCTATCATAGCAAATCCTCTTACGAAACGCCTAAAGAAGCTAGCCAGTCCAATAAACCGTCTAATTTCGTGCTGATTGCGTGGTTCTGGGAATTTTGAAACCGCTTGTATCTTCTGTGCCCCAGGTCTGATACCAGCTTTATCTATCTGAAATCCTAAGAAGTCAATTTGCTCTTGAAAAAATTTACACTTTTCCATTTTTAGCGTCAGACCTGCCTCTCTTAAGTGAAGTAATACTTTTTCCAGGCGCTGTAATCCTTCTTCAAATGTCTTTGATGGTACTAGTATATCATCCATAAATATAATGACATACCCAATTTTAGACTTATTAAGAACTTTATGTATGGTTCTTTGAAATACTGATGGAGCATTCGCCAACCCGAATGGCATACGATTATATTCATATTGCCCATCAGGCGTGACGAATGCTGTTTTCTCTTTGGACGCTTCTGCTATAGGGATCTGGTGATAACCAGATGCCAAATCCAATGATGTGAATAAGCACTGGCCCGCTAGTTGGTCCAATAAATCGTCAATCACCGGTAAAGGATAATGGTCCCTCTTTGTTTTGCTGTTTAATGCTCGATAATCTACACATAAACGTTTTTCTCCCGACTTTTTCTGTACTAGTACAATTGGGCTGGCATAGGGCGAGCTTGACTCACGTACTATCCCAAATTTTAACATTTCCTCTACCATCTCTTGAACAAGTTTTCTTTCCGAATGAGCTAACCGGTAAGGTCTGTATACAACTGGAGTGGAATCCTTAAGATGAATCTCCATTTCGGTGACTGTAGTAAAACCTAGATCATGCATTCCATTCGAGAAACAATCTGTGTATGTGTTTAATAATTTTTCACACTCTTGTCGTTGTTTCTCTGTTAACTGTTTACCACATTGTAAATCTTTATAACCTAGGATAGTATTATCTCCCTCTGATATTTGGTGAATTGCTTTACTTGTTCCTAAATACCGTGCTCGTGTTACAAGAGATCCTTCTTTAATTGTCACTATTCCTGTTCCAACATTTTGTGCTAGCAAAAGGCATTTTCCTTTAGTAATCTGAAACTCTCCTGGTAATAAATAATACTCATTTCCATTAATGCTTCTAACAGTTCCACAAATATAAATGCTTCCACTTATAAAATCCTCAGATCTGACTGGGATAGACTTCATTGCACCAACATCCAGTACTGCAGTCTCGAATGCAATGAGTGGCAATTTTATGATATTGAAGGGATCAACCTTTTCAAACTGCAACTCGGTTGCTGTTTTGATAATCCGTAGATCTGGCCGTTCAGTAAAGCTGTGCCCAAGTAAAATGTTATATGAAATGAGTTGGTCATCTACAATAAACACTTCAACGTCCCGTTCTAATACATCTTGAATAGCTATGTTAACCGTTGTACGCCCCAATGGTAGATAGGGTATGTTACCGAGGCCCCTTAAAAATGGGCCTTCAATTCTTTGCCAAGTTAAACCTAATTTGGCTGCGTCACTTTCGCGTATTACGGTTGCCTCACTACCTAAATCGACAAGACAAGGTGTTAAGATGTCATTAATTTTGATATAAATTTTATATTTATCACTAGGGTTGTCTTCAATGAAGACTTTCAGTACAGTCTTTGCTTCATCCACTATATCCACTTCATCTAATGCAACCTCAAATATTTTTTTCTCTTTAGATTGGGTATTGTCCACATTGTCTTTTCTAGAAAATTTAGGGCAGTATTGTGAAACATGGCCTAATCGATAGCAACTGGTACACTTAACAATTGGCTTGGGACACCTAAAGCATGGATGTCCTACCTCTTTACAGTTAAAGCAGGTGAGTGTCTCACCACGACCCCGAGTCTTATTACTAACATCATTATTTCCTTTACTTAGGGGATGTGATGAAGACATGTGAAATCTTTTGTCACGGTTACTACCATCTTTTCTGAGGTCGATATAATCACGAGAATTATTCTTAACAGATTTAAAAAATTCTAGAATATCTTCAGTCTTTTCAAACTTTGCAGCTTGTGCCCCAACACGTACACCCCTATCATCAACCCCATGAACTATGCAATCCACCGCTTGCTTACCAAAGATTTTACAACGGTTTAATAGATTAATTTTAGAAAAATAATACAATTCTAAGGACTCAGACGGGCGTGCTCTCCTGTTGAGCATCTCTGTCAATAATTCTGCATAATTTTCAGTAGCTGGAAATGAACCTCTTAGCATTGCTTTCCATTCAACCCAAGAGTGCTTAACAGATGGCAATCCTTGATACCAAGACCGAGCATGGCCAGTTAACTTAGGTAGGGCATAGTGAATCGTCTGTCGTTCGCTCCAGCTATAGATATCTGAACATTCATCAACTTTATCAAGCCACACATTAATAGTCTGTTCTTTGGACAGTGGATCAAACTCGGGTATTATATTATTAAGTGCTGGGTAAGATTCACGATCCCCTACTCTACTTTTTAAAGCATATAAAAATTCCTCGAACAAATCAGAAGTGTTCATTCTCTGTTTCTTATTCTTATTAGAATCAGATTCAACAGCTTCGAAATCTCCATCGCATCTGCTTTGCCTCTTTTCAAATAAAGTGTGATCGTCTTGTACCTGCTCATGTGGAGTTGCAGATCTCTCCCTCACTCTTGATGTCTTATCTCTGCTATGGCAGCAGCTCGGCGGGGCCTTATCACTGTTGACGTGTACAGCTCGACGTCGTTGAACATCATGGCAGCCGCTATGGCGACTTCGACTGCGGCTATGACGAGGGGTAGTACCCTTATCATTATCACTGTTCCGAAAATTATCTCGCTGTTTTCGAGAATCATCTCGCTGTTTTCGTCTCATTTTAACTGGAACTTAGAAACATTTTTGTATTAAAGATGTGTTCTGTCGTATATTTTGTATTCTCAAGAGTCATTAATAGTAGCATACACTTAATTAATAACAAATAAATTCAATTTTTTATTTTTGAAAAATCGATTGCGTCATAATTATTCAATATGGCACTTAAACTATGAACTTATTTACTCACTCATATTAAAATTTCATTTCTAACAAACCAAGAAAGAAAGAAATTAGAAAGAGAAGAGAAAAAAAAAAAAAAAATAATAATAATAAATCATGAAGGAAATAATACACTATTCCGCAGCATTTCTTGATATCACTTGTAGACATCTTTTTTTTTTTTTTTTATTTTTGTATCTCGTTGATTCCCTGTCTATTCGTCTTATGTATTTCTTAAAACAATCCAAGTAATTACCTTACATATCGCTGGTTCCCTGTACATTCTTCTTATGTATTTCTTAAAACAATCCAAGTAATTACTTTATATCTCGCTAGTTCCCTGTCTATTCGTCTTATGTATTTCTTAAAACAATCCAAGTAATTACCTTAAGTTTTATTCCGATGGGCGTAGTATTAAACGCAAATTAGTTTATTTGCGCTAATCCCAGTTCTGAACTAAAACAGCTGTTTAATAATCGATAATATAAATTGCTTTTTCTTTATTTCTTTGTCTTTATTCCCCACTTCGTTCATATCTCAACCGACAACAACCTTTTTACCCTCCTGTTATTTTCCCGTTTTTATCATAAAGTTTTATTTAAAAGAATGACTTTGACATCTGACGATTTGAATGACATTGACCTCTAAAGATGTATGTCAAATTGACGTACATCTTTAGAAGGTAAGATTTAACATTACAGATTATATTAATCGAATAAATATCTATTTTAAATATATGTATGTTTTATACAAAATAAATTATAATTAACAAATAATGTTACATAATAATAATAATAATATCAGGACAATTCACACAGCGCCATCTAGACTCATGTTAAGCTAGCTAAAGCTTGTGTTATGGGTACTAGATACTAATAAACATGTAGAGGTCTCGCTTCATTGGTTTCATACGCTGCAATGCTTGATAAAAGCCAAGGTCAAACTTTCCTCGGAAAATCGTCCATAAATAGCAAACGTGACATATCGTTCTTTGTTTAAAATTAAATTGTAATAATCTAATAATGATTAAATATGTATGTTGGGAGAAATTTTAATTTTAGAAATAAAACAGTATTGGTTAATAAATAAAAAATAAAAGAACATATTAGCTATTAATACCTATTGACTTTTTATTAATTTTAGGTGATACATCACACTCCAGAGATCGACGTTCTATTGATTTAAATTTAAAATTAGAATGTAAAAGTATATACGAATAGAAAATATTACACAAAAACATACATGTATGACGCAGAGCAGGTCGTTACTGGACATGCGCAATGGCGATCTGTCTTTAATTCTATTAAAAACCTTTATAGAAACCAATCATTATTTTATAAATAAAACAACAGACTTTAATCAATATTATTAATTTAGGATAAATGTATTATTAACGTTCAGTGTTATCTCCGTGTGATAGGAATGTATTGATATTTTGTTGACAAAAAACATAGTGAGGTTTGTCTCACTTTTTTGTTTTTTCACAGTGACGTCAAGCTCCGTATAGCTGTATAACTGTATACACAACGCGATAATGTACTTACATTGTATAATACAACGCCCTTACAACATTAAAGTAACCCTTTCAATTAGAAAATTGCCTTGTAAATGAAAACTTCAATACTCACACAACACTAAAGCTCAGTCCCACTTCCCACGTGTGGTCTTCACTAATATACACAACACTAAGCTACCGTTTAGCACGCAACCGCTCGGAATGCACTTTTATCTGATTTTTCAGAGTTTTCAGGGAGGCCTGAAGGCTGCAGAGCCGTATTACGATGACACTTGTCATGTGCGGCGCGCGCTCGCTGCCGCTCGGTTAACTTCGCGGCGCTTCGGCATTCTTCGTGCGTGTCCGTGGGTCGTCGGTTCTTGTCGTGTGTATTGATCTAGCGGTAGGCGCCCGGCGGCCGGCCGCCCGTGGCGCCCCCGCTCGGCGCTAATGAGACCTGATGGGTGTCCATTATTTAGCAGCCTCCAAGACTGAGCGGTACGCGAAATTAATGGCGATTTTATTGATTTATTGCAAGCGAAATTAAAGATTGATTGAAGAGAGATCCGCTTTATCTAATAAAGATGAGAATGTATTTAGCCTCCCTGACATTTCCCAAGTTATATGACACAGTATTCATACTAGATTTATGTGATAAACAAACTCATTTCTTTTATTGTATCAATACTAAATTGCCTTCGATAATTAATGAGTAATAGGTTATGTATTGTTTATTGTCATAGAATTTTTCCACTTCAAATATAAATAATATGTATAAAAGAAACCTGAAGCACTTAAACTTCTCTGAGATAGGTTATTGGAAATGAGCTCTTAAAGTAAGTAATATAAGAACCCTTTTGCTGTTAAACTGAAGAAGAGAGTGAAATCCAAGTCAAATACAGTAGGTAAGTATGAAGTAGACTTAACGTCATGTATTCTGGATGCAACCATACACCTACACTTGGTGAGTGTTCTAAAGTAAAATTACACTTTTTTCGAAGTCTCATTATAATCTTAATAATTTTATAAACGCGAAAGTTTCTGAGTATAGATGAATGTTTGTTACTCTTTCACGCAAAAGGTACTAAACGAATCTTGATGAAACTTTACAGTAATATAGCTTAGTTTATACATCAGAATGACATATAGGCTATATATTTCACACGGGTGAATCCGCGTGCAGAGCTAGTATTTAATACGACTTACTACTAATTCGCACTATAAATACCTGCAGGAGATATTTTCAAAATAATAGTAAAACTATGTCAGAATAAATAAAGTTATTTAGATACGAGCGGTATCATATTTAGTGACTATGCATTTATACCTCAAATTTATGAGTCAAAATGAACTCTAGCAAGTTAATTAAGTGATAACGCAAGTCGATGGTACTTACCTACCAGCATATCTATTACAGTTGTTACATATTTATCAGTACGTATAAATAAAATTTAAATGTCTGTTTCAAATTAACAGGTTAAAAAAAACTGTCTGTATGTCTGTTTGTTACTGCTAATCTGTAAATCGGCTATATCGATTCTGATAGCTAATATTATAAGGATTAACTTAGGTTACTTTTATTTTAGAAATATTATTTATTTAAAAACAAAAAAATCTATTCCACGAGTTTATAATACTATTATATATTTTTATTACGATATATAAACTTAGGTTGCTTTTATTTTAATTAAAAAAAATCTTAAATTCCACGAGTTATAATACATACATTTTTAGCGATATCTATAATAACATAAAGAGAGAGAGAGAAGGAGATATTTTTGTTATATGGAAAGAAAACTCTGGAACTAGTGAACCGATTAGAGAAATTCTTACACTGCATGAAACTTACATTATTCTATACTGACATAAGCTATATATTATGATAAACTATAAAAAAATCGAGATAGTTATGTGAGCTAAGATTATGTATGACACTAGTCACTATATAGAGATATGTATATAATATAGAGAAATACGCACAGAGCAATATATATATATATACGTAATTTCTTCCTGATCGTTCTACGATTAAAATATCACTGTAAGTTAACTTTTTTATTTTACGACGAGGAATGTTACCCAGCAATCAATGAAAAAATCGCAATAACGGAAAGAATTTAAAAAATCACAAACGGAATAGAGATGCCAACGCATTCTTATTTTACAATATCGATAAACCGACTAGTCAATAATACCAGTTATATCGAGTAAACGGCTCGAAATACCATAAACAACATTAATGGACCATAAACAAAGATTTAATGCTTAATTAACACGGGTGGAATTATTACAATATTATTAAAAATACAGTTACAGATAAATATTTTGTTTTGTATTAATGAAATTCAATATTTGTAAAATCGAAAACCGAATATTATGAGCAAACATCAAAATAATTAGAATGGATTTTGAAGAGAAACCGTACCACTTATAATTTTAAGACTAGCCAAATCTAAGGAAAGCTATGTATATGTCATAATTGCAACGACTTAGGAAATAAATACATTTCATTATGGACCTATTACACATGTCATTTATATCTTTTTACAATTTTCGTCTAGTAACACGTGTTTATAGATTAAAAATGCTGTTTGCACTTTTTCGTATGATGAAGATTTTGCTTGAGTAATAAAAGTCGAAGATTCCTGGCTAATTATTTAATAATTAGTTAGTACTAAATTAATTTTTTAATCTTGAACTGCAACCGTCATCGTTTGTCTGGCCTGCTGAAACGCGGACGCAGCAGTGTTGCATTTTTAAAAAATAGAATTTTTGCCACAAATTTGCACAACCGCGTCTAAACAAATATGATATTAATAAGTTAATATTAATATTAAAAATTGTTACTCTTACACGCAAAAACTACTAAACGGATTTTAATGAAACTTTACAGTAATATAGCTTATACCTCTGAATAACATATAGGCTATAAATTTCACGCGTGTGAAGCCGCGAGCACAACTAATGTAATATAAACGAAAAAACCAATACTATTAAATATTAGGCATATTGTTATACATTATTATAATGTGCAACCCCAAATAAAGGCTCTGAAATATTTATATTGGCCTTGTTTACCTATTTGCCTATTAGCATATCCTGAGGGTAAGAGGGCATTCTTATTACGTCACAAAATCTACAAAACATACTACTTCTAACATGAAGAAAACATTTTAAAACTATTTATATGAATATAACTAGTTACTCGCCACTGTAGTACTGTACATGTATTATATATATAAATATTCCTCTTGAATCACTCAAAAACCTCTTCAAAATCCGTTGCGTAGATTTAAGCATACATAGGGGCGGACAGACAGCGACAGCGACAGCTCATGTAGACTGTAGTGATACCTACGTTCATTCAAATAATTTATTTTTATCGATTTGTTTTGATTTGATGTTATATCTATTTCCCAATACAAAGTATAATAGCTTACAAATAAAAAATACCAACAAAATATTTTAAAACCACACACTATTACAATCTATCGATGAAACTAATTCGCCGCGTCACTATTCCATCGAAATGTTATCGATAAGTTAGCGTTGTGCCGACGTCGGCCGCCAGATCGAGTGTACTTGTTTTTCACTGTCTGCGGGGCTAATTGCGCCATTTTTCATTTGCACCCCCACTCACACCCCCGGCGGCCATCCTTGGCTATTCTTGGACGCTTCACGGAATACTTCTAATAAATTAAACGCTGTTTTGGTTTTACGTAGTTCAGTATTATTTTAATTTGGAGAAGGAATAAGTATTTTGGATGCTTATTAAGACGATTATAAGATGAGAAGATTCTTTTATGTTTGATAATATTTCTTCGAGTTTTATTATAACCTAGCTACACGCCCCGGCTTCGCACGTGTGTACATGTATTATACATATAAACCTTATCTTTGAAAGACTCTATTTATTTCTAAAAACTGTATTAGACTCCATTAAAAAAAACATTTATTAAAAAGAGCAACACACAAGTTTCTTGCTCATTCTTCTTGTGATGAATCTGCATTCCGAATGAGTGGTAGAATCAAAATATGACTATTCAAAAGTGCTTGTAATGAGTTTATTTGAATAAAGATTATTTCTATTTCTATTTCTATTACGTAGTTTAAAATATCTAAGTGAAGAGATAGAGGAAGCGGAATGTTTTATACTATGTGGAGATAGAAGATAGACGATGTTTTTTTCTTACTTTTAGTATAAATATATTTGAATGGACGCACTATGTATAGATATATATTATTTTACGGGTTATTATGTATATTTGATTCGCCATTAAATATTCATATAACTCTACAATTTCACCCTTTTACCATCAACATCTATTTCTAATAGATATATTAATTAATATGGCAAAACAATGTTTGTATATATATATATATATGACGACCTCGGTGGTCTAGCGGTCTAGCACACCGCTTTACGTCCGATGGTCGCGGGTTCGATTCCTCGCACGGCACGAACATTTGTATTCATGAGTATAATTGTTTGTATCGGTCTGGGTGTTTTCTCTTGTATAAATGTATGTTATGTATGTATTTATTGTATGTATTTACGAAAAAAATATTATCTATGTATCTGTATCAGTTATCTAGTACCCATAACACAAGCTTTAGCTGGCTTAACTTGGGACTAGATGGCGTTGTGTGAATTGTCCTGAGATTATTATTATATATATATAAACCCAACCACCTAGACATACAGATGTTCTAGTAAAAGTAGATTTCTCGTGCAATACATACCTATTATACAAGGAATCGAACCCACGATCATCCGGAAGTAAACCAGTATGCTAAATCGCTAGACCACCGTGATCGTCGCAATCAAACGACAAAGCATTACTACACATTTTATTAATAAATAATTTAATATTAAAAAATAAATCTCTCCATAGCCTCACCTGACGAGGTCATCTAACAGCTAAGATTTTTCAATTACAAACCTGTCAAGCGTGAATCTAACTATAAGATAATGGTACTGTACTAGATATTTTTATTTTTTTAGTCTTCATTACATAGTATAAAACAAAGTCGCTGTCGGTGTCTGTCCCTATATATGCTTAAATCTTTAAAACTACGCAACGGATTTTGAAGCGTATTTTTTAATATATAGAGTGATTCAAGTGGAAGGTTTATATATATAATACATGTACACCCGGGCTAAGCCGGGGTGAGTAGCTAGTACATAATAAATCACTTTTTTTATGTAACTAAACTACTTCTATTTCAGGCGTCCGTAGACTACGGTGACTTTTACCATCAGATTAGCCGTATACTTGAA